GTGTGTGTGTGTGTGTGTGTGTGTGTGTGTGTGTGTGTGTGTGTGTGTGTGTGTGTGTGTGTGTGTGTGTGTGTGTGTGTAGGTGTGTGTGTGTGCGCGTGTGTGTCTGTGGTGAGAGGGTCTGATGCAAGAGCTTGTAATGTAATCCGAAATGTACAAAAGATGTTTGGTTGCAAGCAGAAAGCTACGGTTGGGCTGTTTTCAGACAATCTTTTCAAGTGGGAAGGAAGGGTTTATTTCAGAGACAGCTTCAGATTGTTAAGGTATCCAGACTTCACCAGTTTTCCCTTTAAAGGATCGTTGTAACTGGCATTTTGTGCTCCATCTCTTGCCTTCAGTTGACATTTTACAATGTAGTCCTGTGCTTCTTTATGTTAAAATGTGATATGATACATTAATTGACGCTAATACATAAAACAGGGCAGAAGATTAGAGCTTAGAATTGAAACAGAATATGAACGTAAGAGGGCTAAAATTGATTTGATTGTGAATTATAGTGCAAGAATACAGTGAGACAAACTGTTTTTTTAATCTTAACATTAACTAGACACAAAATGCAACATCAAACCCACAAAACTACAGAAGAGCAACTGTGCAGAAACAATTCAGACTATTCTACTGGAGAAACCATGAAAAAGTCCATCTTCAGCGCCCATGCTGAGGCAGAGGCAGTACTTACTGTGTCTGAGGTCTTGCTGGGGTTAGAATGTGAGTTGAAGCTATGAAGGGAACTGTGGTTGTGAGAATTTTCTTGCGGAGAATAACTGGTCCCTGCAACAAAACACAAGCAGAAGGAAAAATGCATCACCAACAGCCAACAACACGAAAAGTTCACTGACCTAACTGTGAAAAGCCTGGCGGAGAATAAAAGCTGTCACGTCAGCCTCGTACCAACAAATTCCTTCAACTTTCAGACATATGCACAGTGTCAATACACGTCTCTCTTGGTAAAGTCTGCAGAAACAAGCTACAGTTATGACATACATTCCTGTAAACTGTAGCTGGGGCAGGGACGGGCAGCAGAGCGCTGTGGTGAGCAGCATCATTCAATTCATTACACAAAACATCTGCCTTAGCTGTAACGAAACCATCACTACGTATTACAAGCCCATTATTGTAACAGCATAGATTCAATTTGTTCCTACACCTGTTTGCTTAACAAGGCATCCTAGGTTTAAATCTCTCCATCTCAGTACAAGGCTGTCAGCTTGATTGAAAAAGTGAACACCGTCAACACCATGACAGGTAATAGAGTGCAGCAATCAGATGGCAAGACTGAATTTGCTTTTGCACGTTTAATCTTCTCAGCTTTGCCCAGCTGCTATTAGATGCTAGAAGTGTAAGCACTTGCAAAGAATTTGTTCAAGAAAAAAGAAAAAGAAGAAAAATTTGTTTTGGGAGACACGTCATGACAGCGAGGGAGATCACAGCAGGGACGGTATGCTTGAATGAAAGGCCTTGAGTGACGAGGTTTTCCCACATACAGCAATGGAAAACAAAGGATGTACTGAGCACCGCTGTCCACAGACCAGAATCAATGACAATCTGCTCACGTGCAAGATCTGCAAAAAAATCTTTGGCATGTCCAGTGGTGCAAAATAAACCTTTCAGCTTGTAAACTACCACATTTAAGACAGCATTTTACATTTATCTGTGTGCAGCTGAATGACAAAAAGCAACATATAGTCATGACTCGATCATCCGACCCTTAACAATCTAAAACCTTGCTATCCAACAGGAAAACGAACGGAACCCATGAAAAACAGCCTTAACATACCAACAGCCTTGGATTCTGACTCCGACATGACAGTTTATGTCACAAATAAGGATAACAGCGTATTATCTGACTGAACAATCCCACAGATCGGCTATGTTCAGACTGCAGGACTTAATGCTCAATTTAGATTTTTTGTGAAATCCAGTATTTTTTTGCGAGTTTGTTTACATTAAATGCAACTTGTATGTGATCTGCTGTGTGAACTTCATACGACCCAAAAGTGTCCCGCATGCGCAGAAGAGGACACGACGACGTCACATTCAGCGAGCGTGCTCAGTGTTTACAGACGTAAACACAGATGGTGCCACTGTCACCACCCATGGTGGAAACAGAACTGGGACTGCTATCCTAAACTAGCCTGTGCGTTCTGACCACTTCCACCCCGTCAGAGCGCTCCCCGGATTGGAAGTGGTCCCCTGAATGCGCTGAATATTCAGATATTCATCATTAATTGGGCCTGAATATCCAGAGACCAGAGAGTGCTATTCAGACCAGCCCTACTAGTTATTATAACTATTAACAATGAATATTAACAACAAATAACCCTTCAAGCATCAAGCCCTCCTTGTATCTCGACCTCTGTCTTGACAATCCAACAGCCTTGCTATCCGACATCAAAGAAGGTTTTACATTTAGTGTCGGTTTATCGAGTCACGACTGTACAACACGGACAAAAGCTGACTAGTACCACAAAAAAAAATGAAAAGTCAAGCAGGAAAATGAAAGTGAGTGGGCTTTAGCTTGCTGTCTGTGTTTGGCTAGTCCTTAAATCAACTTCTCTGTGCCTAACTGCATGTAACAGTGGGAAAAATAAGGCAAATTAATGAGACAACCAGCCATGTTTCTGAAGTGTGTCTGATTTTCTGGGCAAAGTGACTTCTGCCTCCAGTGACTATCCTGCCAGTCCATTCCTTGAGTTAACAGAACAACTCCACAGACCAGATTAACGACACCAGTCGATTCCAGTAAAGGTAACACTTGATATCAGATGAAACAACTCCACACTTATTATCTTTACAACGTTACAGCACCAGGTGGAATTACAGTTTTGACATTAACTTTACGTTTATAGTGACAGCTAAGTTCATACACCATGAGCTTCAGCATGGCTGGCTGTGGTGGCATCACTGTGTTCCCGTTGTCAATGTTCAGCAAAACTGTGTTGTGAAATGTACGACATACATTTCTAATGCTTTCTTACATATAATGTGTTAACTGTTATGAGGCATTTAAACAATGTATGCGCATGTGTTGACTCACTTCTCTTCTGTGCCTGCAAGAGACAGTCGATCAGTGAAAGATCTCAAGCACAGGAAACCAAACAACCACAACTCAACCTTTGATTCTTTCTTCCTCACACTGAGCATCTGTTAGCTATAACTGATCTGTCACTTTGTGCTTTCATTACTCTTTATCAGTAGAATTATGCAAAAGTGATCAAGGCAAATTTCGATGCGAGCACTTTGATGTTATCTGGTTTAGGTTGTGAAATGACCCATGATAGAATAGTGGACTATTGACCTTGGCAGAGATCTACAATCTCCCAGTGTCCTTCCAGTTATAAAATAAGTAGATCAAAGGCAAACTTAGTCCTCGTGTGCTGAGTGTGTGTAAAATTGAATCACAGTAAATTAAAGAGGAATGTTGATAAGAGTATTCATAAGCAGCGATCTTGACAAGCAATACTGACACAGACATAGCCTACCAATACCCATCCCTACTCATTTTCAACTGTGCCAAACTGTAATTTGGGGCCTCACAGTTTAATATCATATTAATAAGGAAACTTTTTAGGATAGCTAATGTACATCATAATTGTGGAACAGACACTATCCCCAAAAAGAAACAGTAAAAACTTCAAACTGATTCCTTTCTGCATCCTTCTAAACTATAAAAATCAACAAGGCTAACGTAGGGATATGCAAAAATCTTTATACATCACTTCAGAGAATTTATGGCAATCACCAGTTTTCTTTTAATCACATTTTTTCTGAGAAAAACTGTCCACAAACTAGTGATGGGCAGTGAAGTCCAGCATTAAATGGTACCTGGGTTAAACAAAGATAAAGACATTAAAGACCAGCGGAGCGTTAAACTCTAACTTTGTAGGTTCTGCTATCGGTACGAGCAACATTAAGAAAACTGATTTCTTATTCATTATTGCTTCACAAAAATGATCTTGTACATTTTTGTCTGATAGTACATTTGTCTATGATACATGTCCACTTTGTGTTTCCACTGTGGAACCAACTGAGACCAGAACCAACAGTTACTGGACCAAAATCCAGTTCTAGTGAGTTTAACCAGCCAGCATCGACACCCACACAGCCGCTTAGAGGGACAGCGACAACGATTTATCGATTAGTTGTCAACTAATTAATCAGTTGTCAAATATTCCAGCAATCGATTAATCAGTTTGAGTCCTTTTTGTTACAATCAGTCTAAACTTTGTGATTTCAGCTTCCTCAGTGTGAATATTTTCTGATTTCTTTCCTCTGTGACAGTAAACTGAAGATCTTTGGACAAAACAAGACATTTGAGGAAACTGATCTGCATTTTTCACCTTGAGATAGTTTTCTGGAGGCTTGTGTCCGAGCGGCGGGGTCAAATCTCACACACTCGCTGCCACAAGTGCAACAAGCAAAAGAACAAACATGACAATTCCTTCGAGACATACAGTGAAAGTTCGTCACAGAGAATCTAGCTGAGCTGTTTTTGTCCGCACTCCCTTTAGGAACAAGGCTGGATGTGGGATTGACTGCACATTATACTGCAGCTGACATGAATGAGTGTGTGAGACCAGGACTTTCTATTGCTTCTAACTTTCTCTATAAGCGATCATTTGACTTAGAAATGTTGCCAAATTCAAATCACAATCATTACTTGAAGTTAATTGTACAGTGAGTTTGTCAGTATTTTAAGTGATACAGAGCTGCAGTTTGGAAAAAGTTATGAGTGACGACTAGTTCAACTGAAAAGCTCGTCGTCCCAACAGGGCAGATTTAGTGATTTGGAAGCTTCAGATAAACCGTCTTGCTTTAATCGAATCTTCACACCGTCAAAGAAAAAGTCCTGCATTCAATTTTTTAAGTGAACATGCGGACGTAATGGCGGTGCGCATGGACGCAGCGGCCCCTTCAGGAGACAGTGAGCATGAACGTTTAGTGTCTTGCCTATCCTAGACGTTCAATCCGCAAAACTTACTAATTAAATGATCCTGAAGAAACTCTCTCATCTTGCCTGTACTAGTGTGTATGTAAAGCAACATGACAATAAACTTGGTTTGATTTGACAAAGAGAGAAAAAAGACAATAAAGCAATATTAAGTCAGGTTCCTGAATGTTTTTGTCCTGAAAATAAAAAACAACCAATAAGAACACTGTTGTAGAACTGGACTAAATATCAGTAATAGTCGTACTAATGTTAAAATCCCACTGATACCTCTTCCTAATGCAAACGGAACTGAACAAGTAGTCTTATAGGAAGATTTGAGTGGAAGAGACAGCATCCACTACAATCACTCAATGAAGGGAGTTACATCACACAGGTTACCCTCAGTCACAAATTTAAGCAACATTAAAAAATACTCAAGAAGTGTTCAAAAGCAACGGAGGTCCTGAAATAAAACTATGAAGTTCGTCTACAGTACGTAAAGCAAATTAATATATGATATGCACAAAAACAGGCAAAAAAATTTCCCTCGCAGTAAAGTTGACTCACAATCAGTGTTTGGCTGAGTCCAGACACTGGCAGAGGGTTAACCAGAAACCAAACCTCTAACTCTTATTACTGCCGAATGAAAAATCATTAACTTCAACGCGGGGTGTCACAGTGCTACACATCTGATAGTGTACCTCTATCACTTAACTACCACAATTCTCAATGACGAATTTGATACAAAAATTCAAAGAAAAGCTGTCGCACACACTGTGTACTGACACACACTATATAGTTCGGCAGACTGAACAGTAACGATGGTCGCCTACAAACATTA